TGTTAGACTAGTTTAAGTGTTTATGTAGTTAATAAAACCTTACTTGTATCACACTTGACGTGGTTCATTGTTTGCTTAAAACTGGAGTCACTTAATCATGCAGATTTATGCTACAAGCTTTTGTAGAATTGTACAGTAAGAAAGTTATTTCCCTTAACCAGGAAACTAGCGTTCTTAGAATTGACAAGACAGTTGACCCTGAGAGGTCAGCTAAATATCTACAGCGGATCTAAAATATGAATAATTAATTATAACTAGTTATGGTTAATTATTCATATTTCCTCATGAGCTGATTTGTTACAGAACATCTGTCAGTAACGTCACTTAAGGTAGTGAAAAGCATGTTTGTATGATAAGATGAATTTGAAAAATGGTGAAAGCGCACAACCCAAGCTGTTCAAAGCATGAGAGCACTTTACATTAACCGTTTCAAAAGAGGCTTATAAGAGGAGAGTTTAATGTGGGCCGGGTACCATGTCAAGTGCTGACAGAGTGCTTGTGCCTTTTAATGTGCTTGAGAGATGTATTTAATGCATTTGCCAGTGCATAACCTATATTTTACTGTTATATTCCTTTTCTGTCAATGTTCTGAACTGAAAGTCATGCCTATTTCCATTGCGCCAAACTTTGTATTTACAGTAGTGATGGACCAAATGTAAGTTTTTAACTGAAACAACAAAACCAAAAATTAAAGTTTCAATTTAGCAGAAAACCAAAACTAGAAATAAAGTTTAATGAACAATTACTCAATATATTCACTAATCAACACTCAAAAACTGAGCTGTATGTAACATTTAAACTGCACATAAGGCTAACTATCGAGCTACTGACACTGAATGGGTTTCCTGAGGTAAATAGTCTCAGGTTACTTATGTAACCATGGTTCCCGGAGTAGGGAACGAGACACTGCGTCCTCTAGGGGTCGCTATGGGGAATGCCTCGTCGTGACCCGTGTCTGAAGCATACATTGAAAAAACACCAACTCGTTGGCCGGCGACAGCCATGACGTCACTACCGGTGCGACTATAGTATAAATAGGCGCCGGGAGCACACATCATTCACTTCTTCGTCTGAAGCTTGCGTCCGCAGCATGGCAAGAAACCTATGGTTCCCCTACTCACTAACCTGAGATGTTCCCTTTCAAGGGAACTTCGAACTGCGTCCTCTAGGGGTCGCTATGGGGAACGGTATACCCACGCCACCATGCTGAGGGGAGTGCATGCCAGAACCATGGCGAGCACTAAGTACCAACTCTACCATATTGCTATGGGAGTCACCCCTGGGACGTTAGACGGCTGTCAGTGACGTTATTCCCTACGGCCAAAGGCCTAGGCTACATACCCCAAAATACTTACCTGTTAGGGCCAGACTCCTGGGCCCGGGGTAGAGCTCAAGGCTTGGAATCAGGAATAGATTCCTTTAAGGGAATACGACCAAGAGCCTAGAATCATACTAGTCTTGGCCTGTCACACAAGGGCTACCGCACGTTTTTCTTTATGTATGTGCTGAAGGAACTGTCTCAACAGACCCTTAGTAGCAACACCCTGTTAAGTACAGTGGGGCAAAAAATTATTTAGTCAGCCACCAATTGTGCAAGTTCTCCCACTTAAAAAGATGAGAGAGGCCTGTAATTTTCATCATAGGTATACCTCAACTATGAGAGACAAAATGAGAAAAAAAATCGCTCTGGAGAAACAGAGAACTCAAACTTCTCATGTGAGAGGAATAACGTTACTCATTCCAGGTAACCCTTAGATAAAGGGGAGCACTGCTCAATACTACCACGAGGACAGCCCATGGAGCGAGGAATCCAACTCCTCAGAGAGGATTAACGCTAGAAAGAAGACACCATACTCACAATAACCCTCAATGGTG